TCCCCGGGCCAAGCCGGAGGGAGGCACCGAGGAGGGAGGCGCAGGCGAGGAGGAAGAGAGCAGCGTGAGTGGGGCCGACCAGGACGGGGAGAACCAGCGGAGCTCGCGCCCTGGAAGGACAGCCGAGAGCTGGAACGGAGGACCCAGGAGATGCGGGGCTGAGGCACCGAGAGAGGTGAGCGAGGTCCCCAGGGAGACAGCGCGGGCCACACGGGAGAAGAGTCCGCGACGTGAGGGTGCCCGGTTGCCGCCCAGACGTGCGCAGGAAGACCAGCGAGGCGCGAGAGCCAGCGGGCCGTGACGTGCCGGAGGGCACAGAGGCGCGGGCAGAGGGAGGGGCGGCGGCGCCGCCGACAGCTGGAGAGGCGAGCGGCCGCAGGCGTCCGGGGCCCAGGAGAGGTCGGGGAAGGATGGGCAAAGGGCGAGCAGTTCAGCTGGAGAAAGGGGTGACCTGCGCAATCTCTGGCAGCGCCGCGGGGTACAGCAGCAGGCAGGGGTGCCACCCAAAGAGGCGGCCGGCCTCACCACCTCTGTCCATCCCAGCCTCAGTTTACCGCACCCGGGCTCATTTCTCTCCGAGCCTCCCTGAGAGGACAAAGTTCTCTAGCCAGAATTTGTTTGAATCGCAAATACTAGTGATAGGTGGACGGTGGCCGCTTTCTCCTTGGCAACCTCAGGACGCTGTGGACTGAGTTATGTTCTCCTAGTTAGAGGGAGAGATGGAAAGGAGAAAGACAGCTTTGCCCGGCTTCGGAGCAGAGAGAAACCGTTACCTGGTGGAGCAGGAGCCAGAGGACAAACTGCTGGGGCGTGGCGCGCTTGCTTGCGTGTGTGTGTGTGTGTGTGTGTGTGTGTGTGTGTGTGTGTGTGCGCTCGCGCTGGCTCCATCCCAGCCTTAAAGTCTCCTAGGTGACTGAGGAAATCAGCAGTCTCTGCTATAGACCTTACTCCTCATTAGGAGTGTGGAATCCCCAGCAGTGAGCAAACGATCCCGAAGCTAAACTCTCCACTCAGTTCCTCTGTGGGGCGCTGCCACTGCGGGGCAAGCAGGTGCCCCTTCCTGAGCCTCAGGCTCCGGACCTGCTGGAGGAGAGAGGGCTCGCTCCAGTGAGGTTGGGAGGACTGAGGGAGAAGGAGTCCTGCACCCGAGGTCCCCACAGGGTCTGGTTTGGGAGAACTCAGTTCAGAGGACTCAGCAAGGAGAGTAGGGCGTCCCTAGGAGGCTGGGGGAGGAGCTGCCACCTTTCCTCTCCCTGCCCCCATGTACGGGTCCTATTTCCAGCCCTGTCCACTACAGCAGGTCAGCACCTCACCCACTAGCTGTTGTCCTGAGCCCCTCTTGCTGCCTTTGTGGTGAGCTCTGCGGGCCTCAGGCCCTACCTCTGGGAGATGGGGTTTCTCAAACCTGAGGCCATGCCCCTCCCCCAAGTTAGTGTCCTTTCACCAGTACCAGCTCTGGCCCTAGGTCACTGGGTCCCAGCCCAGACTCCCAGGAGACCAGGAGATGGCCAAGACCCTTTGTTCCCAAGGGGAGAGGTGGGAACAAAGATTTCTTACCAGAAGCTCTGGTGGGACTCAACCTGAGAGTGCTGCCTCTCTGCCCCAGTTGTGACTGACTTTCTAAACCTCAAGGACTGAAGAACAGTGGCCTGCAGTTACCTCACATTCCAAAGGTGGTTTGCTGGGGCTCTGTGGAAGGGCGAAGTAGGACCCGCTAAAAGCAGTGGTGGCCTGCACTGCAGGCCTCTTGGAGATGGACAGACAGGGCCAGCCCATTTCCGCTGGCCCAGTAGTGAGCCTGCCTCCTGCCAGGCAGACAGGAAAGCTAGTGTCTCCTGCCCCCATCCCCAGTCCAGACAGGGCTCTTCTCTGCCTGTGAGCAGGCTCAACACACCCCTACCTACATGGGGAGACCCTCTACTTCCAGCAAGAGGCACAGGCTGGCCTAGGCCCTCTAGTGAAGTAGAACTGGGGTGCTGGGGTCCCCTGGGCAAATGGGTCTCGGACCCTTTCTCCTGGTCTCCACCCTGCTGATCGCTACAGTGCCCACTGGCCCGTCTCTTCCTCTTCCTCTTCCACAGCTTCCCAGGGCAAAGCTTGAGGGTGGCTTTTTAGGATGTTAGGTCCAGCCAACCTCTATCCCATCCCCTCACCTCTTATTTCAACCCTGACAGAAGCCACCTGGATACGAACCGTCTGTGTCCCATCCACCTGCGCCCTGAGGGTTTCCCATGCTAATGCTGAACCCTGAGGCCCTGTGTCAGAGGACCCAAGGATCACTCCAATTGATCATCTCTCACAAACTGAATTTGCTGGCAGTGTGCCTCCTAGGTAGCTCCTTGGTCAAGTTGGGGAGACGGGTAATTTCCAAGCTGGAGGTCTCGGTTCTAGATTTGGAGGTGTCAGAAGACCAGTGCAGACCAGCCCCACTCCATTCCCTAGGTGCCGCCCCTCCCTGGACACAGGCCAGCGCTATTTCCCGAAGCCCAGGCTTCGGACGGATGCAGCTCTGCCCCGAGAACGAGGCCATTGGGGGTTGGCCCGGGGCGAGCCACTCCTTGGGCCCCTCCGAAGACACTACTCCCTGCGGATCAGCCTCTAGTCCCCCCTCCAGGACAGTCTCCCCTCTGTGCGTCCTAAAGCAGATGCGCTGATAAACCCCCTTTAGGCGAAAAACGAAAACGAACTGCGGTGAGGACCGCTCTTCGAAGGAAGTGTCGCGGCATTGCAACATTGTTGGCGAAAGCGGTTCGCAGAGAACAGGGATCCCCCTCCTAGCAGGCTACACCCAAAGAAGGGAAATCCCCACTCAGGGGCGCAGCCGCGGAGCCCGGTGCTGGGACCGCCGAGGCCTCCAGACGCCGCGAAGATCCCGGAAACGCTGCGCTCGCTCGAGGCGAGCACAGTGGAAAAGGTGACCTCAGCGCCCGGCCAGCCGCCCTCCCGGCAGCCTGGCAGCAAGGCGCTCCGGACCGCAGGGGGTCCTCGGCGCCTCGGACGTGCTCGTCTCCCGGCCCGCCACTATTTCGGTTGCAGGAAAAGGGTCACTGCTCTGTACAACCGAAGCTCCTTGGCACCAAAGTGCGGATTCCAGACCGTCCTCCCCTCCCTCCCCGAAATGTGTCCCAAACGCTCTTCCAGAACCGCGGCGTGCTCGATGCGGTCCCAGAGAGACGGTGCAGATGCAGAGGCGAGCGCAGAGACGGCCGCCCTGGGCCGGGCCCACGTCCCTCGAGGGGGCTGCTCCTTGGGAGAGCTTCCCCCTAGCGCTGCCTGGGTCGCCCGCTTCTTTCTTTGCATCGCATCTTCCGCTTGGCCGCCTGGCGCGGGTTTGTGTCTTACTGCACAAAACGAAGTTGGGCCTGGGGTGGAGAGGAGGTTCCTTTGGACGAGTCACCTCAACGCCCGGTACAGTCTGCCAAACGACCACCAGTTGACTGGGGGGCCTGAGCGGCCGCTGTTCGCCCAGCAGTCCCACGCCCGGGGCATTTCTCTCCCAGGCACGCGCTGGGAGCTCCCCAATGGGGCTTGGTCCCTCTCTGTTTTCTTTCTTTACACCTGCGGTTCCAGCTGCCCCGGCCCAGGATGGCCGGCAGTGGTGGCAGTGACAGCAGTGTTCGGCTGGCAGGTTGGCAGGCGGGCAGGAGGAAGCGGTTAGGGTAGAGGCCTGCTGGACCTGGGAACGCACCGTGCGCCTTGCCTTGCGCCCTTGCCTGGATGCGGACGGGAGAGATTTGCACGGTGTTCTGAACAGAGTCTGGACTTACTGAATCAGCCATTCTCTTGCAGTTGTTGGCAGGTCACTCTCTCCAGGGGGCCGCCAACTCACCCTTGTTTTCTGGTCTCTGGGACCCTTTTTTTAAATGAAAATTTCCACGTGAATTGTGGACTTTCGTTTTGAGTCATTTCAAACGCCTGCGGGCTCGGGCTCAAATTGCGTTTTGGGTGACAGAGACTGGAGACACAGCTTTGCTTCCTCAGATTCCCTTCTGGATCTCTGTACCCATGTGAGCCTTTGGTGTTGGTTATTTAATTTTTGCTTTGTAGGGTTTTTGTTTGTTTGTTCGGTTTCTTTTTTAATATGTACTTTCCCATAGAAGTGTGAGTTTTAAAACATTGATTCACAGGTAATTAACTGGATTCTCAGACTCCAAGAGGACCCGGCTGTAGGTGGCTTGGTCAGTTGGGTCCACTGTTTGCACTCGCCCCTGGCCCTCCCCGGCCCTTTTGGGTGACTCACACAGTGACTTTGAATCAGAGTCAGGTCCCGGTTCCGAGAAGTTGTGGCCTTTCAGTGTCCAGACCTGTGTAGAACCTCAAAGAAAATGCTCTGCCTCCTGGCCCCGGGTGTGCTGCCGGGTGGAGAGCCAGGTGCCTGTTGCCGCCTGCAACAGTGTGAGTACCTTTGGGCTTGGGGAGGCGGGGAGGAGACCACATCTGGCCCCATCTAGGCAGGTGCCAGGCTGCCAGCCTGCTACCTGGCTTCCACCCTGCCGTCACCACGTCACCTCGCAGTGAGGCTAGCAACCGGCCTGGCAGAACCTCCGCCAGAGTGAGAAAGCCCCAGAAGAGGCTGACTGGTGCACACCAGGGCATGGCATTTTCCTTACTCTTTCTCTTTTCCTTTCTTTCGCTCTCCACCCATTCCCTCTTTCTTCCAAGTCCTGTCCTACCTCCTGCTTTTATTCTTGCTTTCCGTCCCTTCCTGTTCGCCCCTTCTTTTTCTTCCTTTCTGTTTCTTTTCATCAGGACAGCCTGTCCTAATAAGGAGAAGTGGTGGTTGACGTTCCCCGCTACCCACCAGGAGCCGACCCCCTTCTGCTTAAACGTTTCTAACACTACCAGACCCTTTTGGGGTTCTACAGCCTGTGTGGGAATTTGGGGAGCCAGCCTTGGTGTGGGAGCAGGCATGTAGGCCCTGCCCTCTTTGCTGGGTGAGCTGGACCACAGGACCTCCTACAGAATATCTTCTCCCACCTTCCAGCAGGAGCTCACACTTGAATCTGTCCTTCCTGATACAAGTCCTGTCTTGTCCCAAAGATTGGGAGAGGGGGCAGGAGGCCAGGCACTGACCCTTCCGGCAGCACCTCCCTCTGGACACCTGCAGGCCCTTGTGAGGGGTCAGTGCAACAGGCACCAACCTTATGTTACAGGCAAGGATTCTGGGGCCCATAGGGACACAGAGAGCCACAGCTGTCCATTCCTTCAATGCCAGGCCAGCACCAGCCTCACAGTGGAGCTCTAGCCCAGGCCTCCTGCTGGTTGCTGTTCTAAGCTGACCACAGCTGACAGAGAGAATGGGGACAGGAGGGGGTGCCACTTCCACAGACCCTGGGCTTTCTACGTCATGCCTATATTCTTGCCCTGTTCCTGCCCTTCAGTGCCAGGAATGGTTTCAGACACCAGCACGGGGCTCTCCCCGTGGACCCAGGACTCCTGGCTTCTCATTTTTTTCCCCATTACTCTCCTTAAACAAGCCCATCCCTTGTCCAAGCCTCAGTGTAACGAAAAGAAAAACCAGGATTTTATAAAGGAAGCCTCCTATGAACAGCCCCTCAGGAGTCAAGGTCTTTTTCCATAAAGAGCCAGACGAGTGAGTGTTCGAGGCTTTGCAGGCCGTCCAGCTCCTTCTCAGGGACTGGGCACCGGCACTATAGTATCAAAATAGTCACCAATAATACGTAAGCCGATCGGCGTGGCCTTGTTCCAATCAAACTTTGTTTATGGATGTTCAGATTTAGGTTGGATATAATTTTCCCCTGCCATAAAATATTATTCCTAACTTGATTTCTTTCAGCCACTTAAAATATAGAACAGTTCTGGTTTGCTACAAAACCAGACAATTGAGCGTCATTTGCCAATTCCTGGTTTTAGAATCAGTTCTTCTGGTGGCACAGATATGTGCATTTGCACATAAATATTGCTTTATCTTACTTTTTTTCCTTTTAATTTCTTTTCTCCAGAAAAGCACCCATTCATTTAATAGGACTCAGACCTTACAATTACAGAATCAGATGGTTCATTTCCCACTCCTCTTTCTGAATTCTCAGGAATTTAAATTTTCCTACTACAAATACTCTTCCCATACACTGGATTGATCAAGGCATAGCCGCCATGTCCCTTCATTTTTATGAGGGTCTTCGGCATAGGGTAGTTTACTGTGCCTGCCGGGTCCTTGCACGCTTGGGGCCTGGTGCTCACTTCCTTCAGAGTCAAACCTAACAGACTCCTCAGAGTCCACTAACCTGGGCCAGCGCCCCGAAGCAAGGACAGAGTCCACTACTGGTGCGAATTCGTCCTCCCATCTCCTCTCAATTCCCTAAAATCCTGAAATGTGGACGGACAGAAGGCTGTGGTCCTGACCTTCTGGGAGTTTCCCAAGCCCTGAGCCTTTGCAGCTGCCAAGTGACAAATATTTCAAGGGATAGGCAAAGGGAAATAATATGACAGAGAAACAGCTATTATGAATGTGTAGCTTGCTAAAAGTGTTTCCAGGAAATGGTGTTCGCAGAGGCCTAATAGCCCCGCCCTGCATTATCCATGATTCTTGCGCCCTCTGCTGGCCATATTTTGTTTCAACCGGGCTCACTAGAGCCGTCTTCTCTCTCAAAGGAAAACCAGGCTGCCTGGCCTCATTACCTGTGGAATCTAAAATATCGGATCTCCTAGAAATGGAATGGTGTGGTTGCAGAGGCTGGGAGCCAGGGAGATGTCAATCAAATGGCGGCATGCTCATCGATGTGCAGCATGCTGACCGTAGTTAATCATGTATTGTGCATTTGAAATGTGCTGAGAGTAGATTTGCAGTGTTCACGCAGTGAAAAAATGGTAATCTCAGCAGATGATGCTCCATCCATTCTCTTGATTGTGTGATCATTTTGCAATGTATGTCTATTCCAAAGCATCACCATTACACTTAGAATATATACAATTTTTGTCAATTTATATACCAATAAGCCTGGAAGGAAAACAATTTTAAAGGAAAGATAGTCCAGCACTTTATTTTCCTCTCAGGGGATGAGACATCTTACTGGATGCTGCAGACATGAATAAAATGGCATTTGATCTGCCCTCAGGGAATGCAGTTTAACTGCCTTGGGACAGGTGGATGAGCTTACAGTTGACAGCACAAACAAGACCAGGGTCACAGTGGGAAGATGGCTGGCTCCCCACTACAGAGGACACTCTGTTGCCCAAAGCCCAAGGAGCCTTCAGAGCACACAAGGTGAGCTCATGGCTCCCTCTGCAAAGTGGTCATGTTCCGACTGAGGCCCTGGTCAGGCCGAGCTGGTTCATAAATGTCTCACACTTTAAGGCCAGCCCTATCTGGCCTTCAGGCACAAGAGAGAACCAAGCTCCATGCCCCGAGTTTTCCCTGGGCCCATAGGGATGCTTCCTGGGCCTGCTCCTGACCAGGGCCATCTCTCAGTACAGTGGTGGCTCCACTGTGGGTACCCGAGCCTGGAGTAGCCTCATCACCATCTAAGAATACATCTTCCACATGTGCCCCCCGCCATTATCTCAGACCTTCTGTTCTAAGAGGCTGGCATTTTTACTCTTAATTTACAAGCAAGGAAACTTCCATTGGCCCAGGGCAGAGCTGAGATTTGAACCAGCACTTCTTTCATCGTCACATAGTCCTCTACCTGTTCACTTAACCTCATTTCCCTCCAGCTCTGATTGCTACTGAGGTTCAGACTCATAGCTGCAGCCACACACAGATCTCCTGAGCACACCAAGCTCGCTGTCCAGATCTGGACTCAACATCATCACTAAGTGGAGAAGCTGGGCTGGAGCAGCCGCCCCTTAGGGAGGGCCCAGAGGGCAGCACACACAGCAGCCTGGGCGTCACCACACAGAGGGCAGGGCTCTGGGTTTAGGACACCCAGGGTACTAGACCTCTCCCATGGGCCAGGCCCTGTGCTTCCCCTCACCCTGTCCCACTGCAGCTCCGCTTAGGAAAGAGGACTGTCATGTACAGATCATACGGGAGAGGGAGAATGGTACTTCCTGATTGCGCAATGCACAACCCACGTGTTGGTGCCCAGCAGTCCTGCCTATTATTTCCTTCTGTTCTCATTGAGCCAAATGGGATTAAAATGATTTATTGCTTTAAACTCTATCAGGTTCAGTGTGCCTCTTTCCTAAATAATAAGAAACATGTTGAAACAAGTAAAGAAACATACCCTACATGCATACTTCCTGTTAAAAATTCACTTTATTTTAGAGATGTATTGGTTGCTGTTATATGTTTCTATTACAGATTAAAGTAAAGCTCTATCCTCAATGTTTTGAATAAAGCAAGTGTGGCAGGCTGAACGCCAAGATCGCCCCCTGGTGTCCATGCCCTGCAAGTCCATCCCTTTGAACATGAGCCCTATCAGAGGACTAGGAGAGCACTGCTGGATTGTGTCACTTTACACAGCACATGGATCTGAAGTGCCTGACTGGTTGGCTTTCAGTTAATCAAAAGGAAGATTATACTGACCACTGGCCTGACCCAGTGGTCGAGGCTTTAGAGGGACTGGGTCCTCCCTGAGGTCAGAGCCATGCCGGACTTGGAGAAAATGACCATGGAGGAGCTGCACGGCCAGGACCTGAGAGCAAGGAGGCAGATTCTGCCCAGCC